CACTGTATGTGTAAACAAGCTGCCTGTGACCTCCAACTTCCTGACAGTCGTGCAGATTTATTGATGCTTCAACCTCAAAGTGAGCTAAGCTGCGCTTTAGAGGACCTATGTGGGATGAGGTGGCAGAGTAACGTCAACGGATTGGCCCGTGGCCACTTAGGATCGGCAGCCTAGCCTTTAATGATCCTAAAATATAGTGGCATTAACGTGTCTGTAATAAAAAAACGACAGACGCTCCCCTGGTGGTTGCCCCTTCATTTCATCCATGTCGATATCTACAGCCCTTATTTAACAATTTAAACTTTATAAGTTGGGTCGATAAGCGAAGAGAGAGAGAGCGCGAGACAGAGTGCATGCAATTAAACGACCGTTGGTCATGTCAGGCGCGGAGCTCGCAAGTTCGCTTGCGCACACATGAACGGCTTCCTCAACCTGATAGCCGTCGCTTGTGCCTGAATAGTATGTACACTGAATTCAACACAACTTAGATTAGCACAAGGATCAAATTGGATTTAACGTCACCGCCGGAGGCCGTTCTGCGGATAGTACTGTTCCAACGTCCCTCGTCGGCATTGCCGAAGGTTCCGAGCCCAAAATGTATTCAATAAAATGGGAGCGACAGGAATATGACGAGGATGTAAATAATACTTTACCTGTACATAGTCATCACAAAGGGTTATCTGAAGCGTGGAAGATTTTACTCGAAGACCAATATTTTTGTAACCGTCTGAGCCGCTTCTGCTGGTGATCTCCTCAAGTGTGAAAAAAGTGCATTTCGAACTGGCTGGTCGTTGAGAGGAGGGTCCCTATCCTATGCTATCATAATCCTATGCTTACTATGTTTTATTAATTAAGAAATTATTTAAACTATTTCAGGTAAAAATCTGGTTTCAAAATCGTCGCTACAAAACGAAGAAGAAGATCAGGCAAGTGCTCATGGAGAAAACCGGCAGATTTCATCCTCAGCACTGCACCAACTCACCTGAATCCGACGCAAGTTTTCGGCTGGTGTTGCCAGCGAGGACAGAAACTGACAGCAGCCAGAGTACGCATCTCCCCCTCCCAGAGCTGTTCTCTTCTAGTTTTTGCTCAGCCGGCAACCTGAGTTCCTATGGAGGGAGTGTGCCGTCAGCTCAGAAACCCTAAGAGGAAACACCAACCGCCTCTCAGCCGCCATCACCCTGAACGTACCTTCTTTCTCATCTGTTTGTCACCTTGAGCGTCATACCTAGCCAACTCCAGTCCTTGTTAGGTATCCCTCTATTCGAGCATTCATTCATTTGTATATATTTTCGCCTTGTATACATAAGGAACTGCATACCTTTTTTGTACTGGATATGACTTGCGAAGACGCTGGAAACTTCCAGCTGTGAGATACACAGACAAGGAGTACCGCATATCTATTTTGGTGTTACATGCGACTTCTTGTACTTCCCAAGATTGCGATTGTGATAATCATTTACTTCTGTACAAAACTTTGCATAAACTGATTCATACACTACATTGCTTGCAGTTTTACAATTTGTGTATGGGGGGAGGTGGGTTGAGAAGCGGTTTTTCGATTCTGGGAAGTCATGAGAGGACTTCTTAGAAAATAATATGGCAAAATCGTCAGAGGTATGCGATAAACAGGGTTCATGGTCGCGGCTCACCTAACGGTAACGACCGTGAGTATTGAGCTCCATCAACATGCGCTGTGGCTTTGGCAGGACAGGGTAATTAGTTCCACGGGGGGAGGGAGGCAGTCGAGAACGGTGTCGGTAATGGTGGAGGAAATGGCCGAGCAAATTTAATTAATAGCTGTGAGGAAATTATGGCAATTATCGACTCCGATGCGGGCAATCCAAACATCAGCGCACTGAGTACAAGCAGCCACGATGGCGCGAAGGTTGTTAAGGCCCGTAGTTACGATCCGGCTGCGTTCTACAAATACTGCACCCCCGTGCGTTTAGCTAATTTGGTCTTCGATTTTTGGGAAGCTGTACTCGAG